AAGGAAGGAAGGAAGGAAGGAAGGAAGAGGGGTGTAGTGGAAAGTATTTAGGAGCATACAAACTCCCTGTTTTGGATGTCAGTCAATGGGCAGAAGGCTTGCCGACAAACTATTATCTTTGACAAGCTTTTCACTGGAAGTGTAATTATTAGGAGCATGGAAAGCAGATGTATTCTGCCTTATAAAGTATTGAGTCACTTCAACCAACAGTTTCCTCTCAAAGAAAGTGTTGGAATAAAGATTTTGTAGGTCCTGGGCACTCTCATAATGGAACTTGAGTGTCCTCAAGATAGCTTTATACTTACACCAGCGAAACAAGATTCACATGGAGTTTCATTGATCAGGTTTGATGCCCAGAAAAAAAGGCATTAGGATACATAAATGTGGAAATGAATAAGCAAAACCCCAGCTTTTATTTATTAGTGAATTAATTAAGATGGGGCGTCTGTGAATTGTTTGAATGTAACTGATAGGGCTAACAGATCTTTTACCAGACATGACTGAAACCTCCATCTGCTCTTTGTCACGTTTTCAAATACTCCCTCTTCTTTTTCAGCTTCTGAGAGTTCTCTTACATTTGCATTGTATAAATGGATTGGTCCTATAATAGTGACATAAATCTGTATGGCTATGACTACTGTATATGCTTTGTGTGTATCTATTTACCTTCCTCCCTCCTTTTCTAAGTTCTGCATCACCTCAGATTTGTGGGAGGAGAGGTCTCAAACTTTTTCATAGGCACTTGGGAGCTTTATAGACCAGAGGGACTATGCCCCTTATGTCTCATGGTTAATCCGGAACAGGCTCAGATGGAATGCTTCTGTATGTGCACACAAGGAAATCACTTTGTACTTGGGAACTGCAGCAATAAGTGGGGAGCTGTGCTATTTTGCTCACTGGGTGATTTACTCAAAGCTTCCCTTCACAGCTCCACATTCCTCTAACAATGACCTACTCCAAATTAAATAGCTTTCTTTATCTCTTCAAATCTCCAATTGAAGGGAAATTGCTTCAAAATAATTACATGATGCAACTTATTTGTTACCGTAAGAAATCAAGAAATGTCTTTTCAAGATGGTAGAGTAACTTAAGGGCTTAATCTAGGTAAGAATTGTTAACGCCATACTCTTACGATAGCCATCAAAAAATAAATAAAAATTCCTAGGAGTGATCAAGTATGCTAAACAGCTTCTTGCCTTTAGCATTTTGATAAAGACATTAATCTGTATCTAAAAAGAAATTTAAAGCACTCCACTGATTTTGCCATCAAACTCTGCAAAGGAAGAAGTCCTTACTGCCACAACTGAGCACTGCTACAACTTACTATAGCTTGTTTTATCTTGAAAGTGGTAAACAAGCAAGGTTATGGCGGCTGAAGTGCACTACCTTTTTATGTGAAGTGAAAAGGCCATTTTTTAAAATAAAGAACTCTAAATAGTATCTTAAATAAGGAAATCAGGAAGTTAAAATTAGGATAAATAAGGAAAAACGTTTTCTGACTATTGAAATCCCTCTGGAAGTCTAAAGACAGATGTGTTTATGCATAGATTTTTCTAAGTACTAGAGTAACTGTATTTTCTTTCACACTGAAATTTATTGGTAGAAGTTATAAAGCAGTGACTCCACAGTAACTCAACTGTTGACAAAAGAGGTTTCAATTATCTATAGCAGGATTGTACAACTGGGACTCCAAGGGATTACGTGGCCTAGCAGTTCCTCCAAAACCTGCTGCTAAAATGTAATGTTAAATGTGGCAGAAATTAGTAAATATGTGCTGCATAATAATATTAACTGTATTTAAATTGATTGCAATTAGATTTACAGTAATACTTATTAACCCAAATTTAGTTTTTCTCCTTACTGTCTCTTTTATTCATTATTGTAAATGGTGAATACACACTGCTGTCATCATACTTTAAAGTCCAAGTGGCGCTCTTAGCATGAAAAATTGTAGATCCCTGATTTATAGCCTGCCTTTGATGCCTACGAGTTTGATTTTCTGTAACGTTTCAATCAACAGCAACAACAAATCCTTTCCCCCCCACTATCTCTGTGAATTGTTGCCATCTTGAAAATTTAGGTCATGTGTCTGCAAAT